TCATAGTAATGCTTGTGACGGAAAGGATTATTTGCACTATTGTTACTGTTTCTTGCTTTCAAAGTTATTTTATTTCTATTGCTAGTGATATATACTTCAAGATTTTTCCTGTCTTTTTTGTGACATTTGTATTATTCGAAATTGTTATACATTATCGTCAACCACATGATAACGTTGATTATCATCATCATTATTATTACGGTCATCATCATTGTCATCAACATCACCATCTTCGTCGTCTTCATTATTATTATTATTATTATTATTGTTGTTATTATTATTATTATTATTGTTATTATTATTATTATTACTATTATTATTATTATTATTATCATTATTATTATTATTATTACTACTACTATCAGTAGTAATTGTAGCAATAGTAGCAGTAATAGTAATAGTAGTGATTCTCTAAATATCGAGTATTCCAGTGGAATCGGAAGTGAAAGTAAAATGCAAATAAAATGTGAAATTTTCCGTATAAAAATTTCACGTATGAAATGGTGTATGCATACTGCATTAATTGTTGACTCGATATAGCAATGTAATAATAAGTCGATGGATACTCGCGTGTAACTGCGATACCTTGTCTCGCATTTAACTTATATCGATAGTACAAAAAGTTAATTTTCTGTAAGGGTAAATTGTATTGCAGATCAGGGTATCACAGATATGCGTAGAATTGAATGGAAGAGAGAACGAGAGAGATAAGTAGAGAAAGCGAGTGAGTGAGCGAAATGAGATTGTGCCTCGATACGAGTATTCGGAGGAGATAAAGAATATAAATCAAACTACCCTAAGGTGATGTCTCAAGAGTCGCGACATGATTTCCTTGTCGGAGCATATTTCATACATTTGGAAAATAGGCATTACTTTCATGCAAAGTATAGAATGTGTATGCGGAATGTGTAAACGGAAATACATTGCTGGGTTGATACCGCAATCAGTTATTTCTTTAAGGATACAAAAACGATAAAAAGAAGAGAGAGAAGTGAGATAAGCATTGTAGAAAGATAGAACATAGTGATTCGATTTGTAAATCGTAATTGCTGAAACCAACTAAATTCTTTTTGAGTGAATAATAGTTATTTACGATGACGATACGAAACGCTTAATTGCTACTACGGGTGATGATAATTTTTCGTATACTTATATTTATTTTCTTAGGATTTATAGAAGTAGCAAATTTACTGTATTTTTTGTTTCGAAGTTCGATTCCAGTTTTTCATGGGATATTCTTTTTATTTATCTATTTTCTTTTTTTTTTTTTTTTTTCGAATTGCAAAGTATTTCTTTGCATGTTGAGAGTTCAACTATTTTTACGTATGTTCTCCACCTGTAAGCAACTTTTTGTGCCAATCGAGATGAATTCACTGCGAATTCTAAATTCAGATGGCAAAACGGATACGATACCAGACGGCGTCTCGTCGTTCAGAACGCGACGAAAAGTTGTTGAAACTCGCAAATTTCTAAGGGAACATATCAACGTGTGATGTAAAATTAGAAGAAAATGGTCTGTCAAACATTTATCCGGGGAATCAACTTGTTTCTTTAATGAACAATTTAATGTTTTCGTTTATGAGAAAAAATTTGACGACGATACGATCTTCTTGGTGTTCATCCTGTTTCAGAGTGAAGTTTATTTTTGGAATATTTTTCAAATCATTTTCTTTTTTGTTATTATTTTTTTATTATCATTGTTATTGTTGTAGATTTTGCAAGATCATGTTTTCTTGTAATTTGCTGTTTACTTTCCTTTCGGTAAGAAGTTGTTTTGTATGTAGTATTACATAATAAATTTGATTTATCAGAAAAAAGGATACAGCAAGATTCTTCGAATTTTACAGTCGTATATGCATCCTTAAAATAAAATAAAAGTATGATTGTAATCGGAACGCCTCGTCGATCTTTCTCAATTTCGCTTTAGCTTTTCGTACTGCGAATATCAGGAGAATCCCCGAGAGCGTTTAAGATCGAGTCGATCCATCGATCAAAATCATTAATCGATACGATTAGCTTACTTAGGAAATTAATCGCTTCGATTAATTGTTTCAAAAAAAAAGAAAAAAGAAAAAAAAGAAAAAGGTGAAAAAGAAGTGTCGATTTATCGTATTCCGATACTATTGATAATTTATCATTTAAGGGGAAGGAACGATAATTTCGAACGAAAAAAAATTAACGAGTGATCTGGCTATCAAATGGCGAACCAAAAGCATACTGAAAGAAATATTGTGATGCATAATGAGACAAAATATTATAATAGAGAGAGAAAAATAGACTTCCCACCTTCTTCGACTACGGGAAAGCACTTCTTCGTGGACCAACCTAGGAACGAGAAAAGGAGACGAGAAGCTTTTGGTTCGATCCACGAAAATATAGTAATGAGTGTAATATTACTTTTTCTTTTTGTCGTCAATCATAATATGCATATGCTATATGTGTAGTTCGTTCCTCTTTTCTCGTTCGTATCCTTCACCACGGAAGCGGTCTTCTTAGTTGTGCAAAAGAAGAAAATGATTTTGAGCGACTTTTGAAAACGATGGATGAAAAAAGTGAAAAAGAAAAAGTACGTTTATTAGCATTTTTCAACGGGATCTGTTGAGTCTCGTGTATTAAGTAAAAAATAAAATGAAATTAAGGCAAATACGAAAAGACTACATAATTTACTTATGATTTTATCGTTTCAACGTTGTCACATTTTGTAATAGTTTTAAAAAATAATACGAAGAAAAAGGAATGAAAACGGGACAGAAGTGTCTGTAGTTAGGGAAGAACATTTTTGGAAAGATTTGAAGGATCTATCTGTATTATGTCCGCAGTTTTTTATCCGTCTTCCCCGATATACATACATACACACACACACATACACATACACACACATACTCGTGCGATATCGAAATATAATTGTACAAAAGATAAAAACAAATGCTAATCACCGTTTTCCTTAATATTCCCAGTACCACCAATTTTTTAAATGAGCGGAAACGAATGAGAGAGAAAGAGACAGAAAAGCCTTAGAAGAAAAAAGCAATATTTATCTACGATAAAAAAAAAGCATTAAAACTTTAATGCCGTTGCGTAGACGATATTTGTCAATTTCTTTTTTTTCTTTTCTGAACATCTTTGAACTTTTAGCGCAGAATCGTCTACTGGATAGTAAAAAAATACCATGTAAATTCCGATGATACAGAGGAAATGTAGATATTCATTTGTTCCTTGATGTAAAAAAAAAAGAAAACACTTTTATAAGATGTACAATATTAAAGGTTCAGCGCGTCTGGACGAAATTTGTAATTTTTATATGTGGAGGGGGACGCTGTTAGGAACTTTTTTTGTTCTCTTTTCTATTTTATGATTATCTTCTGATTCTTTCTGCTGCCTTTCACTCGATCATTTATCTTTGTCTTTTCTTTTCTTTCCTTTCTTCCGTTTTTTTTTCTTTTCTTTTTTTTTTCTTTTTGTAGATTTAATCATCCTCGGTTTGTAAAGTAATATTGCCGGTTTTGTGTAATCGACACACGTACCGGCACATAACACGGACATGGCATACAGATAACGACTTAAAACAATATAGCGAAGCTCGTTTCTATAAACGAGCAGCATACAATATCTATAATCAAGGTTGTTTTATGTATGATTGTGCGTGTAACATTGTTAATAAACTAACGATATGCTTATGAAAGTTCTTTCATATTCTGTATCTCCATTTTCTTGTTCACTTTGTACTATATGATTTCTTGGTTTCTCTTCCTTTTTAATATTCTATCTTATATATATAAAAATAAATTAACGAGGATAAATTTTTATATTGTATTTAATTTTGTTTATTTAAGATTCAAAACATTGGTAGGTAATGAGTCATAGGTATACTTTCATTTTTGCAGCAATCCTTACTACATTCTTGTACCTACAAAACGATCTAATCGTAGTATATAAACTCAATCTGCCCTATTTGTAGGTAACAATGTTACCATGCGAACAATCGAATCGTGTATCCAATAAAGAGTACGTTGTTCCTGCTTAGCCTAAAAGTTAATCGCATTTCTCTTGTGCGGAAACTTACATGGATTCATTATACAGCCGTAGAAAAAGATTGTCATTGTACGTGTGACTATTGGTAGCACGCCTTGTGTGATCTTGTAACGACAAATGAGGCAGATTTTATAGCAACGACAATGACTTGACAATAAGTTTATGCAGTTAAATTGCTACCTTTGAGTTCGTGTGCTTGTATGGAACCAGTTAAAAGGATTTATGCAACTCGAAAACACGATACTTCTCAATTACAATTTAAAAACGATTACGCATAAAGAAACTTAAATGTGCGACCTATTATTTAGCATGAATATCCTTGGCAAGCTACACGTTTTATAAATTTAAAGTTATGACTGAACTGTCTTTTTGTTCGATCGTTATTTATGTAATTTCACATCAAATTTTCTTATTATCTCATACAATATTTGTAACTGATCAATAAATATGACTTAAGTGAATAAAACAATGATTGATTTAAATAATACAAATATCAATTCCTGCAGTAAATGTAATGAAGGTAATGCAATTATTCAGTTATCATTTATCTACAAGAAATTTTAATTCGATGTAGGTTAGTTTTTCGAAAGATTTATTAAAATTGATTAACCAGATATTTTTGGCGGCATTTTGAATCTAATTAAATTTCAGAGTATGCGCGGTAAGGGTTGAAACAGCGCTAGCGCCGCCACGCCGGTAGTAGTTGCGCGCGCACTTCGAGTCACGTTTCTATCACTCGAAGTGTTCAGTTACCGCTGCGCGGCCGCGTGATTCGCAGTTTTTAAAGTTCTTGTTCGGAAAAGTTTCTCGGTTCTGGTGTTTATGTGTTCATCCTTTGATTCCATTATGAAATAGCGATACAAACCTTGTGTGACAGAATGATAGCTCGTAGAGTCCATTTCTTTAAATTTATTTTATACACATGTATTTGGTAACGCCGATAAATAATTTGTGGTTAAACAGTCGGTTTGAAGACATTCTGTTTCTCATTTTAAATGTAACGGCGTTCGTTAACCAATCTTTCCATTGAAGCTGTATTGTAGTGTTATGGTAATTTAAGCATAAGAAGGATATTGCTACGAAGCAATTCAAGATTTTCATCGACATGTGAATATCGTCGGGTGTATGAACTTTAATTTCGACGCCATTTAGGTATGTATATTCTTCTAACGACCTCTATGTTCTTAATATTAAATTATTATTATAATTGCTACGAAGTGTCATATGTTCGAATGTTACGATGTTCCGTAACAAAATGGTCGAATTCGATATTACTTCAATCCTTTCGATTTAAGGAAACTCTTTACGATTCTTTTTAAGCTTTTATTCTTTAAAGAGGACAATATTAAAATGCGATTTTTATAGAATAAAAATAGCTTTTAATCGATTCTAATTATTTCTGTTAGATGTATGATTATTATATTTGTATTGGAAGAAGCAACAGTTGCGTTTGAGATGTCACTCACAATTAAATTTTGGTAAAGTCATCTGAGTGGATAGGATTGTTATATTTTAGATTCTTTTTTATTTTCATAGGTTATAAAAAGGGCTTGATTTACAAACGGTTTGGGTTAGGTGTATTAGGTTAAGGACATGTATATTGTCTTTTCCCTCTCGTATTATGATATATGTTTCTCTGAAATGATTTTCATACATATTATTGCACAGTTTTAATTAAATATAATCGAGCATAAATTATGATCGAAACTTGAAGCTTACCAAGAAATGTGCTTTTCGGTTACAGACAACTTTTTATATTTTTCTTTTATTATTATTTTGTTTGAGCTAACAATAGTAAATGTTAGGTTAGATTTTATTATTGTTTACTAATAATTCGAAAGTTATTCGTCATTTTGAAATCTTGTCTTTTACACTGAAAATGGGGGAATAAGAATATTTTTTCGTAGTGATACATTCGTCTGACATTTCGTGTGACTTCATTGTTCCTTAGTCGATAAGCATTTCGAACTTCTTCATCAATGAAGCTTTCCGATTGCTAAGCCGGGAATACTTCAGAACAACGAAATCTATTCTAGTCGAATGTCGCTTGTCATGATCGCTTTGTACGTTATTCAACGTTCAATTATATTTATCGATAATATTTCTGTAAGAAACAACACGACCGATTCGTATTGCAATTGGTAAAAAATTCAAGCAAACGAACGTGACAAAAATTGTTATCGATGCAATTGTTCAGTGTACGACAATGTTTTATGCGATAAAATATCTATTCGGCTCTGAAATCTTCTTTTTCTTTTAAGAGAAAAGGCATTAGGAACGGAAGATTTTTGAAAATAATGCTTTGTTACGTCTAATTTTGAAATAATCTCGAGAAGGTAGAATTGAGATGATGAAATATACTCGGTAAAGCATATTGTAACACGCATAATTATAAATTCGCCTTTTTTGTTCCTAAAAATAGCGAGAAGCACGATTTAATATTTAATGTACTCTCGTCGGGCGACAAGATTCCGCACTTCCATGTGATACAATTCCGTAGTATACTAGGTATTCGTCGTACGTTCTACCGGAATTAAGTTTTCTCTTGGAAAATACACAAAGCAAAAGAAAAGAAGCGAGAAGAAAGCAATAAATAAACAAGATCGTCAAGTATTAAAAAGAAAGAATGGAAATAATTTGATAAATCATGAAATTGATAATTAAAGCAATGTAACTAATCTAGAATATCTCTTAAATTCTCGTTCCCTTCGTCGAACTGTTTGCGATCTTTGGATCGATAAAAATCGAACGATCGTTTATTTGTTCGCTTTCTTCTTACGATTATACGAATCGTGTGACGCATGAAAATTTAAATAGCGCGCGCATCGGTAGTTTCAGTGCTGGTGGCGCTTTCGTTTTTTCGAGATTTTGTACGGCTTTATAACGTTTGAGTATTTGATTAGGACACATGTAATTATTTATTTATCAACATCGTGCATTTAAAGGGATTCGTGCATCGTTGAATTTTCACATGATGCTTCACGATGCAGTTAGTTTAGGGGTTAGCTACAGCGATATCTTAACTCGATAAACTTGTCAAACGATCAATCCTCTGCTGCTTGGAGAGATTGAAACTCTCGAACGGTGTGCTCTGCAATTCCGTTTGGATCTAGACCACGACTGACGGTAATTTAACTGCCGAGAATAATTAAACAATCGCTCGAATAGTGACTATATGCACCAACATTAGGGGAATACTGGAGTATTAGAATAAGAGATAATTCTAAACATGGCTTAAACTCGGTATTCTTCTAGTTAAAAAACACTTTAACTTTCTCGTTTCAAAATGTGCAATATATGTAATATTTTCATATTCTTTTATATATATCATTTTTATAGTCATGGATATAATTAAATATCGGAAAAAGAGCTTATAATTGTAGGAAGAATTGGAATTTCGTCTTTTTCTTTATGACTTTATGACGTTACAAGACGAGAAATTAGAAATTTCTAACTTTAATTCCCATTTTGTATCTTTACAAATTATCTGCTAGATGATGGCGCGAATTATAAATTCGTATTGTTCATGGTGTCACGTAAAATTATATGATGTGTGACAAACAAAACGAAAATTCCTCGTGATTAGGGAGATCGAAGAACACCTACGCTAGTTTCCAATCGCTGTACCCTCGTTTCGTAGTCATGGGGGATGAAAGTTCCGATCCATTGAAAAATCCATTTCCAGTACGCATTTGTGCGCTAGACGTTCAAACGGTACACGAAAAGCGCGAATCTCGATAGGAACGATAGCGTTATCGTTGCGTGAAATACGGTACCTTTGGGGGCTTGGGGATAAACATTGGGACTAACAACCGGAGAAAAAGTAACGAGGAAAGTTTCGTGACATGACGTTGCTTCCTTGTGTCTGACGTACAGTTTCATGGCACATGGAAAATTCAAGGAACCACCGCGATTAAATATTCAGATTCGTGAAAATTTCTCTACCTTAAACATTTCCTGCTTTTCTCTCTTTCCTCGACTAGAACAATTGCACGTCATTCCTTCGCCCCTGAATATTGCATTGCGTTCAAATTTTCTTATCTCGTTCGCAGTTTGCACAGCCAAATCGTTATCCCTCGCCCAACAGATTTATGTAACTTTACTAATCCGGTTCCTCGTTTCTCGTTAGAGATTAAAGGATGGTCCCAATCCGTGATGTCAAACACGCGACTCGAGGACTAAAGCTTGGAATTGATTTTATTAAAATGATATAAACGAAAAAGATGGGGAAAATGTATTTAATTATTTCAGCTATAGCATCAAATAGAAATAGAGAAATATAAATGGAAAGCAAATTTTAAATAGTTTATGAAGAGGACATATATGTACCTTAACATATTTCCTTCTTCCAAAATAGGCACCTGGATCCATTATTGAACGTACTTTAAGATATTCAAGGTTGAAGATGATGTAGACGAGGATTTCTCAAGAAATGTAGCTCGGTGATAGTACGAGACGAACATCGTAAATATCTCGACAAGTAATAATAAGCATTCATAGCAAACTTATGGCATGTGTTTGGCAATAATTTAGTAGTATTATGCTAGATCTCAGGATGGAAGCTTCGTTTTCACGATTCGTTCCGGTTGCTTGTGCTCAAAGGCATCGAGATGTTCTCTAAAGAGCTCGAAGGACAAGACAAATTTGTTTTCAGAGATGAAATGGGAACCAAGTTCTTTTTCGAGGATCCATATTTTAAAAACGATACTTTTAACTTCTATCTGAGTTGTTTATCGAGGAAGAGGTGGAAGAATTTCATTTTCGATGGAAGAAACGGAAAACGAAGTTTCTATTCGTTAAAACAGGTATAACTCATCGAAATGGAAAGTTGGTTAAATTACGTATAACAATATTTATTCATCCTTCTATCACCTATTCGCGAAGTAGCTAAAGTTGGTAAAGAGCTTATGGTCTTATGCTACCTTCTCGTTAGGGTTCAGTGGGTTCAAAATGGGTTATTCAGATCATAGACAAGAGTTAATTCTATGTCGTTCGTAGATCGGAAGTTTGTTGCATGTGGCTTCTTATCACTATGCTTCAGCTTCCGTTTCTACCCTTTTTTCGTCTATTTAAAAATATCTAAGAATAGGATATTACGTAAGGTAGTACGTAGTCAGAGTTAAATGACTTTACCATTCTCGAGAATAATCCTCTAAGAAAAGAATAATATACGAAACCCCGAAGAAATATTTATTCGCGACTTCTTTAGAATTTCGTTTCGTAATAAGTAGAACAAGCTATCGATGATCAGCCGTGTCGAATTTAAATCATACAGCCTTTACGAATCCCTTTGAGGCTTCGACTCACTTTTATTCTATTATTCAAATAGCATAATTCGTTTTTCCAATATAACTCTCTCCTCTTCTTCAGATTTTCGATGCTTTTTTAACTTTCAAACACGAGCAAAGTTGCGTGAAAGTCGATTTTTAGCCCGATAACTGTGGCAGTTTGTTCGACGTTGATTGCTCCTTGGTTAGGCTTCAATTAAATCTCGATTGCCTCTCAACTATAGTGTTTGGTCGAATCATGGTTAACCTCTGGTTCAGTCTTCGTTAGATCCTAATTAGATACCAGTTAAATCTCGGCCCGCGACAAAGTTAGGTCGTCGAATTCTAAAATTCTATTTGTTTTCGCTGTTTTAATTACCTCTTGTATGTTTCTTCTCGACGAGGTTACGGTGCAAATATCACGAAGTTCTTAATCAAAGGCTCAAATTTAACGTCGAGTTTCCTTCCAAGCTCCTCGTTGCTAGTCCTCAAAGTACCAAATTAGCTACGAAAAATTTATGCCAAAGGCATAAATAGTCCACAGACGTAGAGTGTATAAGATATCTGTAAACTAATAAATTTCTAAAACTTTCAAATTTTATGTCACACTCGATATTCGTATATATCCCTTTTTTTTACAAAAATCTTTCGACATGACACAAGATCTTCCTGGTAGTTATACGATCAGTATTGAGGTTGCTTTTATAGAAAAAAATATCATAAATTCGAGATTAATAGCGAAGTCAATTTCGTCCAAGCTGTGTGGATAAAAATAACTTTACTCTTATAACTTTTTCAACCCAGTATCATGGACCAGTTACCCTCCTTCCCGGAATTCAATTACCCATTTCGCTGATATTTATACCAAGATAACACGCGAAATTT